TCTATATTTATTTAAAGTTGCGCATTTTGATGTGACGTCACATTTCTCAAACCCCCTCTCCCCCTCGTCACACGTCGTCACAAATGTCTGACCCCACCCACCCCCCTAGGTGCATGACGTCATTTTTGGACGGCCCCTAGGTAGTACGAGATTGGAGGTTGTAAGTACGGTACAGTAAATAAAAGTAACCTTTGACAGAATGTTTGTCTATTTGCATGTATATTTATGGCAATTGCCCATAGTAAACACATTTTAAAGACACAAAAAAATATATACACAACACCGACAAAAACATAAGGTTTTACAAGATTGTGCAAACATTTTCTATTTTAAATAGAAAATCTGGCGCCCTCTTCACCACCCCCCCGAATCCACCGCATAATCGATGATCTACCGTAATCGATAATCCACTGTAATCGATTATCTACCGTAATCGATTATCCACTGTAATCAATTATCTACCGTAATCGATGATCTACCGTAATTGATGATCTAGTGTAATCGATGATCTACTGTAATCGATGATCTACCGTAATCGATTATCTACCATAATCGATGATCTACTGTAATCGATTATCCATCGTAATCAATTATCTACTGTAATCGATTATCTACTGTAATCGATTATCTACCATAATCGATTATCCACCGTAATCGATGATCTACCGTAATCGATTATCCACCGTAATCAATTATCTACTGTAATCAATTATCTACTGTAATCGATTATCTACCATAATCGATTATCTACCGTAATCGATGATCTACCGTGATCGATGATCTACTGTAGTTCCAACACCTAGTCATTGGTTTGCGACGAGCTGAGCCCCTTTCCAAGACTTTTATTGCAATTAATCAAACTTCAAGAATCGGTGAATACGCAAATATTTAAGCGCGAAGCGCCACCGCAGCTTGCGCCAAATGTCGCGTTAAATGTCCCGCAAATTTGTTTGCGCTCGCATTGCCAAAGAGAGTGGCGTTTTAATCAATGACAAACAAATTGAACATCGGAGCGGCCTTGATGAGGCGAAACCGATTAGCGGCTGGCACTCGGTGTAGTCGAGAAAGTGGGGGCCAGCCCGGATTGAAGGCTGGCTCACTTCTCGACACAATGGAAAAACGAATCTAAGAAAAAAAATCTGTAAAAATACGTTTTAATAACGTTTTAAAAGTCACCAGTGAGAGGACAAAAATCACGAGGGAGAGAAAAAGAGAGAGAGAAAATCAGGAAGGAGAGAAAAACTGACGAGGGAGAGAAAAAATCACGAGGGAGAAGAAATAATCACGAAAGAGAGAAGAAATCAGGAGGGAGAGAAAAAATCACGAGTGAGAGAAAAAATCAAGAAAGAGAGAAAAAATTACAAGGGAACGAGGGAAAGAAAAATCACGACGGGGAAGAAAAAATCACGGAGAGAAAAAATCACGAGTGGGAGAAAAAATCACGAGGGAGAGAAAAAGAGAGAGAAAAAAAATCAGGAAGGAGAGAAAAAATCACGGAGAGAAAAAAATCACGAGGGAGAGTAAAATCACGAGGAGAAAATGGTACAAAAGCATCTGCGTTCGAGTCAACGACAGAAGAGAAATTATGAACGCCCTGAACCCTTATGAAAGCATTACTGCCATCATTGCAATCATCATCACGATCATCACCACCACCACCACCGTCATCGTCATCCACACCACTGGCTCAGTGGGACTTACCTGGTCAGAAACGGGGCACCCATGATTTTCCACGCGTGTCTCCGTTCCTTTGATTCCACGTGAGCTGATAATTGGTTTTTAACCCTTTAATCTGGCAACAAAACTGACACCTTTTTTACAAGGAGTCATGTTTGCATAGACCACAATACCTGCAGTCGTAATGCAAAAAAAACATAACTCTGACAATGTATGCACTGTTCTTGAAGTTGATTGGTCCACACCCGAGACAGCTTTCCTTAGAGCCTAGTCTCACATGGTGTTGGACCAGATGACACTAAAAGGCGCACGGACAGTGCATACATTATCAGAGTTATGTTTTTTGTTTGCATTACGACTGCAGGTATTGTGGTCTATACAAACATGACTCCTTGTAAAAAAAAGGTGTCAGTTTTGTCACCAGATAAAAGGGTAAAAAAGCAATTATCATATTTTTCTACTGGCAAATGAGGTTCCAATGGTGTAAATGCTTTCCACGTGAGATGTTTATTTTTTCCCCCCTTACCGCGCAATATACTATACGTCGTTGAAAACACAAATGAAACGACGCAGCATTATCTCGCCACGCCAAAATTAATCTTTAAGAGAGGAGGAAAAGAAATGCCCACTTGGAGAACGAAACACATGCTTGGACAATTCTGTATCAAAGCTCACAACACAGGCCAACCCCATTCATTCTAATTCTCGCGACTTGGGCCTATGCCAAACTCCCTCCAGACCTCGGCGCAATCCATTCTCATTTTCATACGGGTTCCATTATGCAACGCGCCGTTCATTTTCAAGTGTGGACTGAAAATCTCGATTTCTTTACAACTGCTTTTTGTTACGATTTAAAGCTTTCGTGACTGCAGGGATTCATCTTCTTGGTTCTTTCGGTAAAGTCACGTAGAAGGGAAATAATAAAATAATAAAAATAAAACATAATAAACATAATAACATAATTCTCACGACGTTTCGACCACAACGCAAGCAGCCGTCCTCAGGTGAAGAACAGGTCTGTCGAGAAGACAGAGTCTGAATGGTCTTCTCGACAGACCTGTTCTTCACCTGAGGACGGCTGCTTGCGTTGTGGCCGAAACGTCGTGAGAATTATTAAATGTTTTATTTTTATTATTTTATTATTTCCCTTCTATGTGACTTTACCGAAAGAACCAAGAAGAACTGCTTTTCGTGTTCAGTTTGTTGTCCTTCCAACGCACCACCGATTGGCTACGTACGGTGACAACATAAATAACCTCTTGTTGTAGCAGCTCTCTCGCTGTGCTCTTCCTGGTTCAGCAGTTCCACTGCTGGATTATTTGTTCCGCCTGAGGACGACCGCTTGTGTTGCGAACGAAACGTCGTGATACAAGGTGTTGGAAAACAGAGGGACCCAATCTCAAAGCAGTATATTTCACGATGGCAACATGTTACAATTACACAAAAAGTTACGAGCGGTTTAATGAGCTATCAAGTTTTACGAACCATTTTATAAATGCTCTAAGTGCCCTCCACATGCTGTACGGACAACATCGAGACGATAGTTGAATTCGTCCCAAACGCCTCTCAAAGTGTCTTCTTCCACTCAAGGCACCGCTGCCGTGATTCTGTTTTTGAGGTCATCCAGATTAGTCGCCAATAATGGTGGCACAAAAACACCACGGGTCTTTGACGTATCCCTACAAGAAAAAGGCCGCAGGGTGTAGTGATGTCTGGGGATCTTGGGGGCCAAGAGTGTAGCACCAAGTCTTGGGGTCTCGTGCGACCTATCCAACGTTGAGGCAGTGGGTCTTGCGAATGACTGAGGCTAGGGGCTGTTTGTGCGCTGGGATAGGCATCTAGCGGTAATCATCTTAAACTCTATGCCCCGCCCTCTCTATGCCCCGCCCTCTCTATGCCCCACCCTCTCTATGCCCCGCCCTTTCAAGTGGTAAGAGTTTCATTCATGGGCGGTTCGTGGTTGCAGAGATATAGCGATTTCAAATCGTGTCCATCTTTTTTAAACACCCTGTATATATATTTTTACCTATGTGGCTTTACCGAAAGAACCAAAGAGTATGAATTCCTGCAGTCACGAAAGCTTCAAAACAAAATATTGGTGACAAAGAAGTCCCAACGTACACGCACGCGTGCGGGCGTTTGCACCGCGGAAAAGAAATTGCCCTCCCCTTAATTTATTCAAACCCAATTTGTAAACCAACATGTGTGCGCACACGTAAACATCTATAAATACATATTGCCCACAGCACCCCGAGAATTTGGAGCACATTAACCAGCGGTGAAAAAAAAAACACCTCCCAAAATTATTTCCGCAATTATACTTACGCACGCGCGCACACGAAGCAGCAGCGAATTATTCGCCGTTGCAATTAAGGTTAAAATGCGTGTCCATTTCACGCGACTGCAAATGCGTTAACTGTGTCGCTGAGATGCATTGAATGCGCCGTAAATCCAAATGTGGTGGCTCGCGCTGGATAGCGGTCGTTCGGCTCGTACGTAGCCACATAAACATTTAGAAGGGAGCGAACGATTTATGGAAATGTAACCGATTTGAATACGCGTTGAGTTTTCATCACGTCACATAATGTGTATGTCAAGTAAGTTGTTATATAAAGTGAAGGATGATGAAATATTTTTCGTACCATTTCACACAATACTGTATTGTAAAAAAAAATCTAGTTTTTGCCAGCTGGCTTGCAGGTGTACGGCAGCGATGTCACACACATTCCACAGCGATGGGCCGGGTCCGTGAGTCGCGGTTAAGAATAACATGAGGGTGTTCACTGGGTCTTGAGCATCAAAATACGAATCTCTATTGAGACTGGAAGGGTCAATATGTTAGGGTTTAGGAGTCGGGGGTTTAGGGATAATGTTCAGGAGATAGGGTAAGAGTTTAGGGCTCATGGGTTAGGGTTATGGTGTTCGAACCAGGGTTTTAGCATTCGAGGTTAGAGTGAAAGGAAATGAGTTGCGGTATAGGATTAAGTTCGGCCTATGGTTAAGGGGATCAAGGGTAGGATTAGGATGTTAGAGAGCTATTGTTGGGTGTTCAGGTCATAGTTGAAATGATGGCCAAAATCTGGGCTAGGCTTAGGGAGTTTGGTCCAGGAGGCCCAACTTCATGGAAGAGATCTGAGTGAGGTTTATAGATTTGGGGTTTTGATGAAGCATCATGGTTCTAGATTTAGGTAGGCCTGTGCGATGGTTAGAGGCTTGGCTGTCAGGTGTTCGTTAATGTCTTACGTCCGGGGCACGCGCCTCCGTGAGACAGATCTGAGCGAGGCTAACTCGCCTCGACCCAGGCTCGAGGCCTAGACGATTACCTTCATGGGGGAGAGCTGCGTGAGGGCCACGTATCCGTGGACGTTCTCCACTTGCGAGAGGTTCTTCTCCGCCACGTGCACCAGCTCCGGGGGAGTCTTCATCTCGCTGCCGGAGTGCGGGGGGCTGTTCTCGGGGGGCGTGTGGTCCTCATCCTGATAGCGGTATTTCTGCAAACATGCGGCGGAGCGAAACGGGCGGGTCAGAATCGGTCAGAAATCTTGATTTGGATGTGGAGGGATCCGATAAGCTACGGCGCATTTTTGTCACACATGTCCAGAAGTTTCACAGATGTCCGGGAAAAGGTCACCGCGCGCGACGCAGTCACGACACAACACAGCAATGGGTCAAAGTATTCGTTGTGTTTCAGTGTTACAAAACGCTTCAATTCAACACTGTCCGTTTAAGGTAAAGGTACAGGCCAGCATTTGCTCGCTCACACCACTGCTGGCAGAAGGGCCTCCACTAGAGGGGTATGTTTTGGCCTATTCTTCCACGCTAGCCACACGTCTTGGAATACATGGCTGGATCCGCAATGCGTCCCACCAAACGTGACCTGCATATCAACTCACGTACATGTGTATGTTGAACTTCTTTCACACCGTACGTAGGCAACCGTGCGAATCGTAGGCGTGGGGAGAGGACAACAAACCGAACACGAAAAGCAGTTGGAAGAGAATTCGCTTTTCAATCGAGATGATTTAAAAGTGCATAGCTCCAGTGGCTTCCTAATATCGTAAGGAAGAGCGTTCCAGACGGCCGCAGAAGTGACCGTCTTTGTTTGATGGTTAGCCAAAAACCGCTGCTGCAAGGATGACCGGAGTTTGCGTGATGGTTTACGCTCCCTGACAATATCAGTAAGGTGTTGTGCTTCATTTGTGCCATTTATAATACTGCTAGGTGGACAGAGGCAGAAAGGGCTTCAGGAAAATTGCACCATTGTTTCAACTGTGATGCCAGGGGAATAAAGCAGTGTCGATCCCTTGGATTGCAAGTCCAGCATGCTAATGATTATCCACCGCAGCAGCATCTTGCTGCAGTATAAATCAATAAACGATTTTCTTCAGATGACAAAATGAAATCACTGCGGTCCTTCCATAATTAAGACGGTCATATTAAGAGAGAAAAAATTAACCCGTAAAAACAAAGCTTTTCACTCTAACTCCTTTATATGCGTGGCGGCTAGAGTCCTCTCGTCCTCTGGCTTGAGATGGCTGCCACCTATGGGTCAGATGATTGCCTGCCAGCATTAAGCAATTGGTAATAAAATATTTTAAAAAAATTCCCTAAACAGTGTAAAATTTTTGAGAAAAAAATTTCACGAAAATTAATTGTCACGCACAACGAGTCTGTGTGCAAAATGTCAGCTCGATTGGATCACGGGGAGTGGGTTAAAAAACGACCGAAAGATTTGCACGGTCGTAAGCGCGCAAGCAAGCAAGCAAGTGAACTTAATATAAAGGATTTAAAAAACACAAATAGTCGGCTGATATTTCAGCAAGCTATTACCCTTCCGCAGATTGGAGAGGTGGAGGATGGTGACATGGAGAAAGCTTACGAATGAAGAGTTTATAATTGGAATAGAAATACATTTTTAACGTTCCACTCAACAACAACAACAATAACGTTACCGCCATGTCAAAAACTGTTAAAATGCCCCACTTTTCTCAGGACCCTTACGCTGTCAAGTGATATCTCAGTCATTCTCTCTGCTCTGAAGAAGGTCCATTGCCTGAAACATCGGCCTATTATGTAACTGCTGAATACGGCAGCGTGAACGACGGAGTGCAGGCTACCATTCGCTTTTAACGGTTTCACCAAAATCCTAACGGGTTTACCCAAAAAAAAAAGCACCAAATGATACAAACGCAGCAGATTTACGATCGCTTAATAACGCGCGTCCATATTTAACGGGGAATTAAACCAAACGGACCTCGAATTTTTTAATCCGAAAGTATTTCCGCTTGCACCCACCGTGCATTTAATCGGCGGAGGGTGCGAGTGGGTGGTGTTTAGCGGAGGAGAAGGGAATGGAAAACCTATCGGCGGTCATCTGCGCCTGATGAGTATATTCATTCCGTTATTCCACACGTCCAGCGAAATATAGAAGCCCCATTAAACCGGCACCACGCTACAGCTCCATTACCCGGGGCCTTGTTATTACATCCACAGGCGATGAGGACCGCCAGCGCTATATATTTTAACCAATCTTGTTTTTTTTTTATTACCAGCTATGCCGCTCAGACGTGACAATCCCTACTCTCGCTCTCTCTCTCTGCCTCTCGCCCTGCCGCTCTCGCCTCCCTTTTACCCTTCTTGATTCCCTTCACTGGAACCGGGCACCACGGTAGCGAGATGTTAACTCCCTCGCCTAGTATGCAGGAAATCGTGGGTTCGATCCCGACCCTGACACAACGGTGGCTAGGAGATGTTAACTACCTCGCCTGGTATGCAGCAGGTCGTGGGTTCGATCCCGACCCTGACACAACGGTGGCTAGGAGATGTTGACTACCTCGCCCGGTGTACAGGAGATCGTAGGTTCGACTCCCATCCTGACGCCTGCTGTATATTTGGAGTTTGCGTGTCTCTCTCATCATCATCACGGTGGCTAGGAGATGTTAACTACCTCGCCTGGTACACAAGAAGTCGTGGGTTCGATCCCGACCCTGACACCACGGTGGCTAGGAGATGTTAACTACCTCGCCTGGTGTACAGGAGGTCGTGGGTTCGATCCCGACCCTGACGCCACGGTGGCTAGATGTTAACTACCTCACCTGGTATGCAGGAGGTCGTGGGTTCCCATTCCGACCCTGACACCACGGTGGCTAGGAGATGTTAAGTACCTGACCTGGTATGCAGGAGGTCGTGAGTTTGACCCCGACGCCATGGTGGCTAGGAGATGTTTACTCCCTCGCCCGGTGTAAAGGTCGTGGGTTCGACCCCAATCCTGACGCCTGCTGTATATTTGGAGTTTGCGTGTCTCTCTCTCATCATCATCATGGTGGCTAGGAGATGTTAACTACCTCGCCTGGTATGCAGGAGGTCGTGGGTTCCCATCCCGACACTGACGTCTGCTATACGTTTAGAGTTTGCGTGTTCTCCCTCGCGTGGATTTTTCTCCGCGTCCTCTCATGGTGGGGGGCGGGGGGCCACACGAACCCCTGCCCCCCCCCCTTCCAAATTTAGAAGTCCAACTCCGCCTATGCCCTTATCTAAAAAAGTTAAACGTTCTGCACATATACGGACCATACCGTAATACGCCGTACGTTAGCGAATGGCGTTGGCGTCACCACCCTGCAGCCACCAGAGGCCACCAATGTTCAACCGAAGCGCTCCTCGGCGCGCAGCTCTGAATTATTATGAACCGCCGAACTCGGCGCTGAGTTTGCGAGGAGAGGGTAGGAAACTTTGTCCCAAGCACCCCCCACCACCCCCATTGATGAAAAGGCGGCCGCGTCTCCAAGTATTCATCGATAACCAGACAGCTCAACGTTCACAAAAAATTAAAATAAATCAATGAAGTGCCATGCGGTACTAGAACTCGACGGAGCTTGGGAGGTCAGACTTTTGTTGTTGTTGTTGTCCGACCCTACAGCTGCAAAACGTGGTCCCGTTGTCAACGAAACGTTGGTCTAACAGACGTGTTGTTTACACCATTGGTACCTCATTTGCCCTTTTATCTGGCAACAAAACTGACACCTTTTTTTTGGCGTCATCTGGTCCAACACCATGTGAGACTAGGCTCTAAGGAAAGCTGTCTCGGGTGTGGACCAATCAACTTCAAGGACAGTGCATACATTATCAGAGTTATGTTTTTTGTTTGCATTATGACTGCAGGTATTGTGGTCTATGCAAACATGACTCCTTGTAAAAAAGGTGTCAGTTTTGTTGCCAGATAAAAGGGTAAAAAAAACAATTATCAGACGTGTTGTTGCTACGGGAGCAAGACCAGGAGAGATCGGAGGGAAGCCGTGCATCAGCGTGGAGGGAGTGGATGCAGAATCAGAACAGGTATTTAGAGACCGGAGGAATACGATGGGCTCTTTTTACGGATGTCCCAGTAGGGAGCAGGTAAGAATGTTACGTAACAATAGGTTTGGCCCTTTCTGGCAATAAAACAGGAGTTGTGTCAAGATGTTAAAACGCCAAACTAAATATTGTGGTTTCACAAAAAAATGTTTTTGTAAATGTTGTGGTTTCACGCTTCAACACACCGGTGGGCTAAAGCAGTGAACTATTTGTCTTTTGTCAACGTGACACTTTTTTTACTGTTTAGGCCGTGTCGGGTGGTGGAGGGTTACGACACATTAAAAAAACGCGATCTAACCCAAAAACGTTTCTTATGAATCGTTAATGCAGCAAGCCGGAGACCTGGAAGAAGCATCGATCGTAATGGCTCGCGCATCACGGCGCGGGCGCCCACTAATCTTGCGAGCCATACCCCCCCCCCAGCACGTTGCGTTTTTGTTTTCTTTCTCCTCTCTCCCATACCACACACATGTCGGTGATGTGCAGCGCGTCTTCTTCGAACGCTGGGGAGCCGGAAAAGCCCCTCTCTGTACCAGCGTGGACGGCACCCTCGTGGTGTTCACCTTCTGAAGCGCTCGCTCGTCACCGTGGCGTGCGCGATGACCACCACCACCACGTGACTTTTCTTTCGTGTTGTGTGTGCGCTGCATTTAGCGCCACAGCGCGTGGATTTGCAGCGTTTGTTTTCATTCGTTTGCTGGTGACTTTGTGTATTTTCATATCGGAATCGCCTCCAGTGCTGTTGCTGCTGGCGGCAATAAAAGTTGTTTAAAAGTCAAAGTCTCTCCCATCATCATCATCATTATTATGATTTATGCCGGAACGATTTGTCACGCCATCCCCACCGCATGGCTTGTCCCGTGAGCATGACTTGTCCCGATTATTACACCCAACGAGCACGTCCAACTGCATCGGCTCGTGCAGCTTTAGCAGATATTTTACAACCCCCCACAGCCACCCCCATCTAACCCCCCTCCATTGTGTCGCTTGCTTAGTGTTGTGCATGCGCATGTGCGCGTGTGTGCGCGTGACTTTGTGTGGGGGAGCAGTGGTGTAGCGGTTTGCGCTACGAACCCGGCAACCCGAGTTCGATTCCCGCTCACGGCCAACACCACCGGTGACGATTATCTGAACCGGTCCT